TCTCTCTCTCTCTCTCTCTCTCTTCTCTCTCTCTCTCTCTCTCTCTCTCTCTCTCTCTCTCTCTGTGGTATGCGTCAAAAACAGGTCGTTCCCGATTTTTTCATTTCTGAAACTTCGCCCAGCAACGCCACTGGCATTCAAATGATTGCGATGCAACGCAGTTGAATCATTTCATGCATTGAGAGTTTGAAAACGCATTGAAAGGAATCGTTTCGACCGACATTTGTGTATGGTAATGATGCGCTTTATACAAGAATGCAAGAATGCGTAGATTAAATTCATTTTGCCCAAGGATTTCCACGAAGCGAGAAAATATATTTTCCAAATAGCTTTTTAAACCGCAAGTTGGAAGCATGATGATTTTTTTGCTAGGGGAAATTACCCATTGAGAAAACAAGTCATCGATTTTTAAACGTGCGATAAACGAATGGACACGTTAAAATGAAAGAGAAAAAAATGGAGCAAAAATGGAAATCGCATTTTCAAAATGATTGTTAAATCCATCTTTCAATTTTTATGAAATGTGAAACTTTCGTATCGATTATTATGCGATAAAACGTGCAGACGGTATGAGTGGCCTTTGAAAAAGAGATACCCTAAACCTTTGATACGTAATATGAGAGCGGTCATACTAGAAGGCGACTGTGTGTGAGTGTATCCAGTTTCAATATTCATGTTTCATATATATTTCAAATTCCATTGCATAATGGAATATGACAACATGATTCGTAGAATATAAAACACACTGTCTACCCTTTCGCTCGCTCTGTATGCTATCTTCGGGACGGACGGAAATGAGTAAATGCGTTTAGTGGAAAACTTTCAACCCTTATTTACCTCATTTCCGTCAACTTCAGTGACATTATGTAAAGTTCAATTTTCACATGCGAATTTCGTAGAGTTCGCACGAACTGTGTGTTTTACTTTGTTGAATTGTATGCACTATGAATAAGTGGAAATGAATGCCTATCATTTTGTCCTATTTTTTTCTTCTACGATACTCCCCTTGGTATTTAATCATTTTATGTCATCATTCAACTAGAAATTGTATGAAATAATTAATTAAATGAACGTGATGTCATTCAAAGCCAAAGTTCTGAGTATAAAATATTGAATTCCAGAGAGAAAAATGCAATTAAAGATGGGAATAGTGGATATGATCTTAGTTTTTACTTTCAGAGTTTTAGACTCCTTCGATTTTTGAACTCCAGAAACAATGCAAATCCAGCGTTATCTTAATGTCGTAGGGTAGGTGCGCGGTACAGTGTATGATGTACGGAAAACATGCTAAACAATTTGCTATGTTTAGAAGTGTAGAAAAGTTCATCTTACGGATTTGAGACATTTTATTTTTTCTACAAATTTCAATTAGAATTAATTTTATTATCAATTCCATTGAACTGTCAAGTCCAATGTAACAAGCTACATGTGCATAGTGCGGATAAAGATGTTTTCGCTGTAAATTGCACACACAATATTGAAACATAAGTTGTGAGATACATAGCCTAGGTGCTATGCTGAAAATGTCAAATTATCATAAAATGGAGAGAACAATATATGTAAAATGCGATAAATGGCGGGATGTTGACTTGACATGATACTGTGCTGAAACTTGTGCGGTGTGAGATGGAGGAAAGGAAAAGGCGGTGGCGGTGGATCTCACGATAGAAAATGTTGTCTCACGTTGCATAGACATGGGAAAAATGTTGGCATATTTACATATGTGGATGCGTACATAGAGGGAAAAAAATATTCGTTCAATTACAAATATTTGTGTGTGTTTTATGTTGTTGTGGTGTTGTTGCTGCTGCTGCTGCTGTTGCCTTTTCTCTGCCTAATGCTTGGTTCCGTGCAACCATTCACATTTTTTAGATTAATACTACACATATGTACTGTATCTGGCAAGGCAAGGCGACGCGGCAGCATCCCACACAATTTGTACTTTGATTACATTTTCTTGTGCCTTGTGGTGCGGCTGCAACCAGCACACAATGCGGAGAGATAGAGGAAGAGTGAGAGTGGAGTAAAAAAAGTAGTAGAATGAATTGAATTTATTTGTGAAGGCTAATAAAACAGAAAAGGATGCTTCCAGTCGAGTACACAAAGAAGGCAGAGAAAGGCATCACAGCGCAAACATTTCATTTGAACATTTTTACAGCAGTACGCGCCATTCATAGTTAAATGATGGTGTCTGTATATGTGTATGTGTCTGTGTGCATCGAAGCTAGCTCAACCATTCATCTCATGCAAAAGACTGTGCGCACGGCGATAGTGGCATTACGGTACTTTACATCTTTACTGAGACGGGTTGATTTTTTTTCAAGTAGTTTTTAAATTACGTTTCACATGGAAATTGCCGCACATTGTTCGAATCGGAATTTAAATTTTTGTAAAGAGAATTTTTGATTGTATGGACAATGTGATAGATTTTCGCTACGAATCGAACTAGAACAAGAGACTATTCTTACAGCATAGGACGCACACAATTCGGCGAATCCGTTCGAAAGAACTGGAGTGCTTTGAATCGAACAGCCATTTGAAAAAACGGAACAGTATTGATTCTTTTCTATCCGCTGATTACAATTGATGAAAACCTCGGTAGAGCCGAAGTGAAAGCCAGCTTATTTTTTTACCCGCTGTAGTTGCAAGTTTCGCATTCACAACGTTTGAACACAAATGTTGGAGATGATTTAATTCATGAGTACGGAGGCTTTACAATGTTTTTATCCGGCTTTGAATCAGAGAATCCTCTTTTTCATCTGGCTTTATGTCTGCAGTTTTTGTTCTCGACTTTTGTTTTCGATATGATTTTCCATTGTTTGGAGGGAAAAAATATTGATTTCGCTCACATACAAACGGATTATCTGTTATACATACACAAAGAGCATCGCCGAACATTATATTGGATGTCTGTTGAATTGGTCTGAACGCATCGGTTTTACACTTTAATATATATATTGATTGAAATGGCTGTTGCTGTTTTTGAAAAGTTATGATGTTTTCAATATCAATTTGGGCCATTCAATTGGTTCGACATATTGACGTCGATGGCTAAAGTGACCGCTCGCTTGATTTCATATTGAAATTTGAGCATGTCCAACGGAAATGAGAGAGTTCAAATGGCAATGGTTCCAATGTGGTTATTGCTTTCGATTGCCGAACGATGCGCCCACACACACACACACACGCAAAATGCAACAAT